GGGGAGGTAGATGAAGAAGAGGGGGAGTGTGCCCCTGTGCCCACCCCCACAAGCAGGGCCAGGGGATGAGGGCAGAGGTGTCACTCTGTGGGCCACACACATGCCGGCCAGCCTGACAGGAGGTCTGCACACAGAAGCTGCCACTACACCTTGCGCTACCATCCCACAGCCACCTGCACAGCTTTGTGGGCAAGTGGCACGGGGTGTGGCAGCAGCAGTGCAGTGGCAAGCACTGCGTGCAGGCCACATATGTGCCGCCCAGCTGGGGGGTGGAACAGGGGGCTTGCATGCAGCAGCATGCCCTGCAACCAGCTGCGCGGCTCTGTGGCAGTGCGGGGTGGTGGTGGCTGCCTGCAGGCTGGGTGTGCTTTGTGGGCAAGCACTGCCACCATGGAGCCATGCCCTTCACCCCTGGATCCTAGAGGTAAGTGGGGCTTGGGGGCTGTGGGGCAGAGCTGGGGAAGATGATTGGGGGCTGAGGGAGTTGGGGGTGCTGCTGGCCCAGACAGTACATCACATCTGGGAGCAGGGTCAGGGGATGAGGGCAGGGGTGCACCTCTGCGGGGGGCCTTTGCGGGCAAGTGATGTAGGGCACGGTGTGTTGGTGCTCACCATGTGCGGGCCACACACATGACGCCCGGCTGCCTGCCCAGGGGAAGGGGAGAGGGAGACTGGCATGCGGCCGGAGCACAACTCAGTAGCCAGCTCTGCAGCCACAGCGAGGGATCTGCAGAGGAGGGCGGGAGCTCTTATGCAGTTGCTGCTTACCTGGAGGACCATGAGGGCGGTGATGGCTACTGCCTACAAAACCTCCCACTGCCACCGCGGAGCTGTACCCGGAGCTGTGCGGCCAGCCACCGGGTGGCAGCAGCAGCGTGGTGGTGACCGGGCAGCATGCAGCCATCCCCACCACCACACTGCGCTGAACCACTGCCGCTGGACACACAGATCCGAGCACAGCTCCGCGGTGGCAGTGGGAGGTTTTGTACACAGCAGCAGTCGCTGCTGGCATGGGCAGCCACTGCTGCTTACCTGTGGGGCTGCCCGTGCCAGCAGTGACTGCCGCCACACAGCTCTGGGCATGGCTCCACAGTGGCAGCAGGAGGTTTTGTAGGCAGCGGCCGTCACCACCATCACAGCCCTCTAGGTAAGCGGCAGCTGCCACCATGTGTGAGCCCCCTGAGTCCCCCCCACCCCACCTGAATCCCTCCCTGGGCAGGAGGCCGGGCGGCAGGTGTGCAGCCCACACATGGCGGGCACCACCACACTAAGCCCTGCATTGCTTGCCCACAAAGTCCCCCCAGGGGGCACCCCTTCCCTCACCATCTGGCCCTGCTCCCAGCTGTGGTGTGTTGCCTAGAGCCAGCAGCACCCCATGCTCTCTCAGCCCCCAACCATCTTCCCCAGCCCTGCCCCACAGCCCCACTTACCTCTATGTTTCAGGGGTGAAGGACGAGCCTGAGCCTGAGCCCAGCCTTGTCTGCCTCAGAGTCTCAGGCCCCACCTTCCCCCCTCTCCCTTCCCATCTGGGCAGGGCTGGGGGTTTCCCACCCTTTCTGCGATCAACTCTTGCAGGCTGGAGCTGTGCCAGCCTGCAAGAGCTCTTTGCAAAAGCGGAGAATCCGCAGATTTCTCTGCTAAAAAGGGAAATCCATGTTTTCTCCAATAAAAACAGGGAATCCATGGTTTTCTCTGTTTTTCCGTGGGAAACAAAAAACCCGGATCCATGGTTATAACATACCATCCTTCCCTGGAACCTATACAGAAAATCCTCAAACAACTGGAACACATACTAGAAGAAGACCCAATTCTTACAGAGATCTTTCCAGAATTACCTATCCTAGCCTTTAAACAAGCACTGAACCTCACCAACATCACCACCAGAAGCAAACTTTCTATGGCCCAAAGTACACCAAATGGATCCAGACCATGCCAGGACAAAAAAGGTAAAACCTGCCAACACAGCTCCACCACTCCCACAATAACTACATCCCACAACAGAACCATTACCATTCCTGGATCTTACTCCTGCACCTCCAGAAATGTAATATCTCATCCAGTGGACTAAATGCCCTGATGGAAAATATGTAGGAGAAACCAAACAACAACTGCATATCAGAATGAATGTACACTGAAAAATCTATCAAAAATAAAAATTCCCAATTACCTGTGTGTGTAAGCTCCTCACAAGACAACTACTCTCCGATCTCTCAGTCCTAATTTACAAAACACCTTTCATAGACAAGCCTACGAACTTTACTTCATAAATCTACTGGATTCAAAAAATCATGGACTAAGTATAGACATTGGATTTATGGTACATTATAACTTGCCTGCCATCTAAGAACCCCAGGTAACTTGTCTGCATTTTCCCAGCTACATTCTACCACCATGTCAACATTCCCCCTTCCTCCCCACCTACTTGTCTCATACCTATTCCCATTCCCTCTGATCCTCGCTGCCACACAGTTGCATTTTCACAGACCTGCATTTTGCGTATTGGCTTCTAATCTACCCAGGACAGCACACAAAACAACACCAGATTCTTCCTATGCCTGAATAAGGGTGTTTGTGCCCAAAAGCTTGCAAAGAACAATTTTTTCAACTATTTAGTTGGTATAATAAAAGATACCACATCTACCCAAAGAACCTTGTCTGCCTATTAGAAATATTTTTTGGTGGTACTGGGGCATGGCTATGTCATTAACCCCATGGGTAATTGTTGTCCTATTGCCAAATTTCCAAGTCAGGATCCCTGTTGGGGACAGCTTTTGGCAGTGGGGCCAGTGATGGTATCAGAATGAGCACAGGACAGGTAACACTGGCGCTGCTCACTCTTGTTGTCAGAAGTAGGTCATCCAGCCCACAAAAAGCCCCTCTGTCTTGATCTGACCTGCCAACCCAAATAGGCTGGACAACCCTGGACTCTAGATAGTCTGGATAAGAAACAGAAAGATCACTTATGCACATTTTTTTTTGTTTTGAAAATCTTTAGAGCTATACATTTTGGGAAATTATGTTTTGTACTTCTGAAATATTCAGGTTAAAGACCAGTGTTTCTGCAAGTGTCATTTTAAATGTTACTCCATCCCTATTGTACTTATGCAGCATTGGCCAAGAAAGAAAAAGTTACATGCTGCTGCTAAGTTGTGTTGTGTTTTTACACAGCATAATACTGCCACCTGATGGTAGCAAATAATTACGATGTCGGAGTTTAGACTTCACTTTTATTTCCTTTATTTCAAAGCAATAATCAGTGTGATGTTTAGACTTCATAAGATGTCTTTAGTAGTGGGGCCGTCTTGTTCTGCTGGCTTTTTCTTAAATCATGAAGTTAAGAGTGTTTTAATGCACTTATTTTTTTATTTTGGAAAATTAACAGGATGATTGGAAGCCCAACATTGCTTTTGTTGTGGAGAACAAAATTGAGGATGAAATCCATACAAAGGCACTGTCTCTTGCTGTGCATGTACCACAGCGGAAGCTCTTCAGTGTCATATCGTGGGAAGGAATTTATGAACAGGTATTTAATACGTCGTCTTATTAAACGCTCTTGAAAATTAGAAGGTTTTTCTTCTTTGAAGAAGCTCTTACTGCATATTAATATAAAATGCATGGATAATTTAAATAATTAGATGTTCATTCACATAGAAGTTAAGAAAAAAAAGAGAGTAGGTAGGCAAGTGCAAAGCCTGTCAGTCAGCATGTTTAAACATCCAATTAATACACAGCAATAAACTCCAGTGCCTATCACTGGAGCTTATTGCTCCAGAGCTCCATGTTCAAACATGTGCCCAGGACCGCAACATGTTGAGTCAGGTGGGAGCACACCTGCCTGGCAGAAGACCCAGGGGGTAACCCCACCAGCCCAGGGCTGCTTCAACTCAGCTCAGAGTGCTGAAGAAGGGCCGGCTGGGGCATGAGGGTACTTCAGTATAGGGCTAGCCAGCAGGCAGCCCCACACTAAAGCACGCTTGTGCCCCAGCCAGCCCTGTCAGCATCTTCAGGTGTGTTGTTGAGGAGTAAAAAACTCCACTATAGTACTAACCTACAGTAGAGTTTTTATAAGTACTAACCTACAGCAGAGTTAATTAGTTTACTTTGTCCTAATATCACTGCATGTGTAGATGATGAGATGTTTAGTGCAGAGCTAATAATGAAAATCTTCAATAAACATCTTGTGTAGATGCAACCACTTCAGTGTAGTCCAGGTCTTTGTCCAGACAAGGTTTAAATGTATAGATGTGACAGGCTGGCTGGCAGTGACCTAGCCCAGGGGTTTTGAAAGGGC